ACATCTGCAGCAAAGACTTTTAAGTAACAACTGGCCTTTTCTAGTCTTCTGTGATGAATGATTTTGCTCCTTTTTCATATTCACAATATGAGCCCACTGAAGTGCTGTTACTTTGTAAAACTGTTCTTAATGGCTTGAACTGTATACTAATTGTATTACTTATTAGTAATGTTAATGATTTGCAGGTTGGATGGAGTCAGGTTAGAAAATGGAAAAATTAATGTTGTCAACAAGAAGAATGGGAACAAACCAAAGTTAAATCAGAAGAATTGGTAAACTTTTTAAATCAAGCTTCCCCTACCCCCACCATCATCTTCTTATGTCATCTTTATCTGTTAAGTGTAGACTGAGGTTGTTCAGCTGTTTTTTAACTTCTGGTTTACACTTGTCTCTATTACAGTAACTCGTGTTTGGAAGTTCTGTCTAGAAACTTATAGACTGATCTATGAATTAGTAATCTGGGATAGATTATGTATGCGATATTTTTGCTTCTTTTTGCTGGGCTTTAATGTGTTCTGTGGACTAACTGTGTCACAGAATACTAATGCCAGGAGAAATGTGGGTAAACCAGTCAAAAGCAGTTTGACTTTTGCAAATATGCTTGTTGTGACAATAAGACTACATGGATTGGAAAAAAGCAAACTTATAATATTTTTCTGATTAAGAAAATCTTTGGAATACCTTTCAATAGAAAAATTCCTTATGCTTTTATCAAAATGTTATTTGTTTTTTAGTTCTGTTGGTGTAGTTGGGTTATTTATACCCAAAGGCTTGAATAGTGTACTTGTAAAAGCTATGTTGTATAAAAGCTATGTTGTATAAAAGTAGCTTTTTCACAGAATTTGGATTACTTCACTCTTAAAATGCATTGTTAAAGCTTATAGTAGCTACTAATGTAAAAGAAATAAGTAACAGCATAGACCATTAAAATTGACTAAAATTAGCCATAATAATTTGATCATAGTAGTTCTGAAACAGTAATTGACAATGTTTTGAAAGAAATACTTGAACTGGAATTTTAAGAGTTCAACTTGGGACAAAAAATTTGTCTTGTGAAACTATTGTGCCTGTACTTTTAGGTTCATTCTATATATTATTTAAGTCCAGGTGTGTTTTATTTTAAAGGATAAATCCTAACTTGCTAAAGTAAGCATTTATTTGTAGAGTTTACAACTTGTAGCTCTTCTGAATAATCACAGTTCTGATCCTATTAAATATCTTCTAGTTCATACCTCTGTGATGTGACCCTGAAATCTTTAGATGGAAAGGAATTCCCGTGTCATAAGTGTGTACTTTGTGCAAGACTTGGTATGTGTGTCTATTTTTATATATTTAATACAAGTCATATTGTCTTTTTTAACTGAAATTTTATTGTATCTTGAACTGAAATGCCTTTCTTTACAGATTATTTTCACAGCATGTTAAGCAGCTCATGGATTGAGGTAAGCTTGCCAATAAACACGTGTGGTGGTATGTTTTGTTGCATCAAATAAGTGACAGCTTTTCAGTTTTCCTAGAATAACATATCCTAAATACTGGGGAAAAGGAAAGACTAGATTCTTGGATCCTTTTTGCAAGAACAAAACCCTCAGATTTTTGATTGCTCTATATTGGTACTATAGAGATTGTGTATTAAATGAGAATAATATATGTAATAACATAACAACATAATAACATCAAAGGAAATTAAAGTATTACTTTTGTTTTAGAGTTTATTTTGAGCTAGTTCATGGATTTCTAGAAGCTGCTGGATTGTTCTTATGCAATACTGCTTTGGATGAATTTTCATTTTCTTTCTCTGAAAGATCTTACAATTTAAATAGTATGCAGTATGGAATAGCTTTTCATATGTACTGAGTGAAAGATGCAGCAGAATCAAGAGTCAATGTGTAGAATCTCAAGTTAACTCTTACTGTTAATGAAATAGAGGGTATCAAGGACTATTCCACTTAGTCACCAGCTGCTGCTTTACAAGGTGTAGGTCTTTTATTTGTCTTGGTTCCTTCTTTTTAGCTGTGTATCAGTGCCCTGGTTGTTCCTGGACATCGTAATTTCACTAAATGCCTATGTTTAAGTATCTGAATACTTTTGATAATGCTCATTGAAAGAGAGGAAAGGTGTAAATGGAGAAGAATTTTTCAGAGACTGAAAGCTGAAGCAGTGTGCAAGAGCCTTCTCAACTTTCATAGCTTTTTGGTAATACGTAAATTTAACAAGCTGGCAAAGTACTGGCAGTTCTCTTCTGCTGTATAACAGAACTTTATCTGTCCTCTTAAGTTACTGTGCTGCCTTTTCCTCAGTCATCCCTGAGGAAACATATCCAAAACACTGTGAGACAAGTGATTGATTGATTTGGGGTTTTTTTTAAGTGTCAAATGTCCATTTGTATAATTGATTTCTGTATCAGTTGTATGTAGTTTGTAAGTTATTTATTATTTTGTAAGTAAATCTAAATCATAGTAAATTCGTAAGTAAATATTTTGTGAATCAAGTGCTCTAGATGTTGTATAAAAATCTTAATGTCTGTAAGAGGTTTTTAAACTTCAGATGGGACCTATGTCAGTTCCAGTAGCATGTTCTGAAGCAAAAGAAATCTTTTAGTATAAAACTTTGCTTCAGTACCACCTGAAATAAACCAAAGTTGTTAAGCAGTGTTGTTGCATAAACTTGAATGGTGACAATTACATGGTTTAATGGCTAATGTTTGCTTATACAAAAGCTTTGCCTTAGTGGTTAAGGTGGTTCTTCAAATGGAGGGTTTGCTGAGGACCTTGTTTTCCGAGGGATTAACAGTAATGGCTACTTTCATTTTATTCTTGCATGGGAACTTATGTTTTCACTAGATGCTTTACCTTGAAAGGAAAGCAGTTCAGTACTTGCATAGGGGATTCCTGTTCTACTTTTAAACAGTTGAGGGTAAAGTAATGTAATAATATTGTTGGAGAAGATGCTCAAACTGATGGAACACTGAACTGTTTCATGGATATTTATTCAGAAGTTTGGGCAGATTTTAATTGCTCTGCTACAATCAATTCTTAATTGAAGAGCTCTAACAGATTTTGAGTAAATGCTTAAATAATTGCTTAACTTTGAAAATATGACTCTCAGTCTGAGTCATTTTCTAAATATAATTGCTGTCTTAATTTTGTATTTTATTCCAAGTAGTCAGCTTCTTTTATTATTTTTGTTTATTTTTTTTAATCCTTTTGCCTTTTAGGCTTCCTGTTGTTCAGCTCTGGAAATGCCAATCCATTCTGACATACTACAGATAATTGTAGATTACCTATATACAGATGAAGCTCTTGCGATAAAAGGTGCCATTAATATATTTTCAACTCAACTGTAGCTCCTGCAATTTTTATATTTTTAAGTAGAAGTTGAGTACTTAATATGCTTGCATTGAAGTCTTATGTAGAGAATCTGAATTTTTGTGACTCTTGCTGTATATTTCGAGGTGATAGCTGTACCCCAGGCCTTTTTGTACCTTTTCTTTAGTTTGTCAGACTGCAGTTTTCCTTTTCCCTCCTTGTCTTCCTTCAAAAAAATGTTTATTTGTGTTCTTCTAAGCTATTCCTTGTGCTGTGAAAATCCCATCAAAATTTGCAAAGTAGTTACATTTGTCCTTTGGTAAAATCTCATTGAAGCTGTATGTGTAATAGTTACTTTTAACTTGCCCACAGTGTTTACATGATGCTTTGTTTTCCAGATTCTCAAAATGTGGAATTCATATGTAATGTTCTTGTGGTAGCAGACCAACTTCTTATATCCAGACTCAAAGAAATCTGTGAAGTAGCCATTGCAGAAAGACGTGAGTTCTTCCACTTGTATTATAAAGGGTTAGAGAATAAAAAAATGGGGTTTTTTTTAGATGTTAGTGTTCTTACCTATTTGAGCACAGAATTATTTGCTTATATTCCTTTGCTCTAATTACCTTTAGCTGTTCATTGCATAGCTGTTAACAGTTGCTTCTTTAGTCTGGGTGATGTTTTGGGTAGCATAATCTTCCATATGCTTACACTCTTTAAAAAAGAAAAAAAAAAGTAAAAAAAAAAAAGAAAAAGGCAAAAAGAAAAAAAAAACCCCAACCAAACCCACTACAGCAAATAAACCAAACTTTTATAATACTTTTATTTCATTGAATTCAAACTTCTTGTCTTTAAAACATGATAAAATGAATTCTATGTTTCTGTTTCTGGCCTTGTATTTAGTTCTGCTTGTTCTTCTGTTGTTTGTTTGAAACGGTGCTGTTTCTACATGGCTATAAAGATCTGTCTCTTCTAGAAAACACTAAGTGTTGTTGCTTGGTTTCATACAAGAAGTCAGCATACAATTTTTGCTTGGCATTTCTTAGTGACTTCTATTTTCTCTCTCCCTCTCCCCTACCCCTTCTCCCCCCTTTTTTTTTCTTTATCCCTGCTAAAGGGACATTTGGAGGTTTAAGAACTGTTCATGCTGTATATGAAACTTTCTGGTTTTAACTTTATTTTCCCTTTCGTTTTGGACTGCTGAATTTCAATATATCGAAACTGATAAGTTTGTAGATAGAGCCTTTCTATTTCTGTGAAGCAGTCATTGCATTCAAGCTGCTACAAAGTTTTGTGGAGCTTGCTGTAGTTTCTGGTCATTTCAGCATTAGCATTTTTTTCTAGGAATAGAGAAATATATGATATGTTTCAATAACTAGGTCACGCTGCACAATGTCTTAAAAACTGCTGCATGATATTGCAGCACATTATCCAATTTAGTTTGTTGTGTTTCTTCTTTGCAGTTACTTTAAAGAATGCTGCCGAGTTGCTGGAGTTCTCAGCTATGTATAATGCTGAACAGTTGAAACTGTCCTGCTTGCAGTTCATAGGACTCAATATGGCAGCTTTGCTTGAAGCAAGGTAAGGAGGAATGCAAATGTGTTCATGTACTAGCTGTTAAATTCAAACATCCCCAAAAGGAAAGGGGTTGAAGAATGAATAAGAGCAGTTAAATGTTAAAATGCAACTGAATGCTGCTAGTTTAAAGGGAGGCTCATTTTTGGCAAACAGGGAGAGAGAAATTAGTTAAGTACCTGTACATAGTGTACCAGTTCTATAGTACAAAACCCTATGTTATAGTCTGGCATGAAGAGCCTGAATTAAGGGGAGAAACCTCTCGTGAATTCAGTGGGCTTTGTCGTTAGGCCTAATCTTAATTGGGTTTTGTAAATTGGTTTTGAAGATGCATAAAACTGCTGTGGTCTTTTTTTTATGTTTTTTGTTTGTTCGTTTGTTTTAACATGATAGTTACTATGCAAATTGAATTTAAGTAGGTTTATTATAGCTGGTACATTTTCCAAAGAGGGTGGGCCTGCCTTCTGGTAGTCTCCTTGCTTTAACTGTCTGCAGTGAGGGCTGAACAAATTAATTACCCTTGCTTTTGACAACGATTCAGCTAGCGTTCTGAGAAGTTGAAGGTGTGCTCCGGCCTTCCTTCTCTTGATGCTTTCAGACAGGGCTTCAGGTTTCTTCTAGGGTACATATCTTCTCAGAGCAAGCCTTATCAGCATTGATTGAACTTCTTTTTTAGGAAAGACTTAAAAAACACCCCAAAAACCCCAACCAAACAAAAAAACTCCATCTCTGTTACTGATCCACTCTGTCCACTCCTAGCCTTTTTGTCATGCTTCCCTTTACCTATAGAAGTTCTTGGAGATCTGAACCAGTTCAGAATGCCAGCACTTCATTGCTATGTCACGCAACTGCTCTGCTTGTATAACAGATACAGGAATTCATTCATATTAGCAATTTTCCTCTTCGCATCTTTATAAAGTAAAAACACTTAACCTTTGATTTTGGGGAGAAGAGTAAAAATGTAGTAATATTGCCTTAAGTATTATTCTGAATTCAGTAAGACTGTATCTGAAAATCTGAAAATGTCATTACTGGGTAGCAAGACTATTAATCTGACACCTGAGACAGATAGAACTTAGTCGTGACAGCTTTGTGTGAGAAGAGCTGCTCAGGCGGGCAAGACAGTTCATTTTTTTGGCATAAATGTCAAGGGGTATTGCGTACGAGTTTTATAGAAGAATTTGTGTAGACTTGGAGTGTTGGATACATGTCAGGAAGACTCGAAAATATGCAGAAATAGGTAAAATAATGATAAGTTCACAGTAACTTAAATATATAGGTCTATATTGGCTTTGGCCTTAAGTAAAGGTAGGCTGTCTGGAAAGGTTGTGAGTTTAATCCTGCCTTACAACAAGGGCATTGACTAGTTTATATTTTGTGTGTGTTTTCTTCCTTCTGGCTGTGACCACCATGAATAGGTAATAATGTCTGTAGGTGAGATTCATCTAAAAGATTTGTTTAAATTTTTCATTAATGTGGTGATGTTTTTTTTTTTTTAAGCTGGTAAGATAAATTTGTATTTATTTTTTTAGGACTTTGGATGTCTTAAGTGATGAAGTTGTAAAGGATCTTTCTGTTTATTACAGGAAAATGGTAAGTTGTACAACTTGAGTGTAAGCTGATTATGTTTAAAATGAGAACAGATGAGTAATAAATACATACATGTAGGGCCTGTAGATGACAGGCTGAATGTGGAACATCTGACTCAAAAACTAAGGTTAGCTGCTGCTGTTATCACTCTCTTAGAGCTCATATGTCGTTATTCACTAGCCACTGCTGCAACAGTGTATTAAATATATATATAAATGTATTAATGTTCTATAACAATTTTTACATGAAAAAACATAAGCAAAACCTATGGAAAAGAGTATCTGTTACTTAGAAGAAAGGAGAAGAAAGCAAATTAGACTTCTCCAGTGGGAAGTTCAGGGTGATCATATAGATCTTAAAAGCAGTAAGAAAAATAACGTGAAAGTTGAACTTTAATGCAAAGGGGTAAACCAAGGCACATTATAATCCAGTTTTCTTTAACTGTACAGTAATAAAAGATGAATGATTGCAAAACCTTGATGCATTTTTTTCTTGTCAGGAGTTATAGGCAGCTGAAACATACGCATTCTGAGTCTGTCAAAATAATTCTCCTGTTTTGCTTAGAGATGTAACTTAACTTGATAAGTTAAATAAGCTTGTTAAATAATTATTACTTGATCTGTAAAAATGTTTTAAATGACAGTCAGTTTTGGTCCTTTTACATGAGATGATATATTTGCTAGCATACAACTTAAGAGAAACTTAGTGTAACAGCTTTTACAACTACAGATTCCGGCTATGGTCAGGAGAGTAATTACTCCGTATCCAGATGGACCTGATATAAGTTCCTTTGAGCCTGAAGATGGAGAGAACTTTATCTTTTTAAGGGAAGAAATGAATACAGAACAAAATTCTCAGTAAGTATTTATTTTTCATCAATGTTTGTAGCTGAGTGAGCTGTATATGATATTTATCCCCCTTTGGATAGTGCCTGACTCCCTTTGGGTTCAGAATTGAAATATTAAGAAATAGAAGACATGGAGATTTCAAAGACTTTTCTCAATTCCTTTAAGTATTTTAAAATGTTACAGAACTGCAGTAAAGCACTTTTTTCAATTTATAAGTAGCATGTAAGTAAAGGTAGCAAAACAAGCATTCACGGTAATGTTTGGGAGTTGGGTGTGTGATGAGAGTACCTGTGTATATGTAAGACCAACTGGAGTTCATTGAATTTTCATGAGAAATCACAAGGGGAAAAAACATATTTTTATAGATCTGTCTGGAAAATTGTGATAATTTAGATTTCTTAATATTAACAGAATTTTCATATGAAATAGGAAGTTTTGTAGCATGAGTTTTTAATCTGTTAGTTTAAAGTGGATTCTGTCTGGATGTAGAATAGCAAAACAAGCAACCTGTGTTTTAAGAAGTGTTAGAAAATGTGATCCAAACAACTGTAGATCAGGTAGTTTGGCCTTGGTAGTTTTGTGGACTTCTGTTATTCTGTCTTTGAACATTGTTCTGAAGACATAGAGGTGAGAGCAATAGAATCTGTAAGACTAACTTAATATGCTGCTTTTCTCTGACAAGCAAATAATGATATTACAACTGCTTTTTTTTGGTACAGTTTTTAAACTGGAGATATTGACTATGACATCACAACTAGGAAAAGTTAATTTGATAGGATGACTTGGTAACATGCTTCTAACATGGGTAGTGAAATACGATGTCACTGTGCAGATGAGACCTCACCTGCGGTATTGTGCACTGTTCTGACCACTTGTGTCAAGAAAAGTTACACTGAATGAATTAGTATAGATAAGGACTAGTAGATCAAGGGAACTGAGAGGCTGTTTTGTATTAGAGTTCAAACCTTTCAGTGTTTTTAAAGGCTAGGTGATAGCCTTTAGGGCATAGGGCACTCCAAGGATTAAAAGAACTCCCAAACATTGTAAGGTTACAGTATTGATGCAGGAATGACTATGTACGTGTATAGTTATTCCAGAAGAAGCTTTTTTTGAAATAGGGTAAATGTAGCTGTGATACAAATAATTCTGAATTTCTAGTAGTTTTATTAAAATGAAAGGTACCTCTTATTTGATTCCACTCTTCCCAATATCATAGAATCATAGAATGGTTTGGGTTGGAAGGGACCTCAAAGATCATCTAGTTCCAACCCCCCTGCCATGGGCAGGGACACCTCCACTAGATCAGGTTGCCCAAAGCCCCATCCAACCCGGCCTTGAACACTTCCAGGGATGGGGCATCCATAGCTTCCCTGGGCAACCTGTTCCAGTGCCTCACCACCCTCATAGTGAAGAATTTCTTCCTAGTATCTACTCTAAATCCACCCTCTTTCAGTTTAAAACAATTACCCCTTGTCCTTTCACTACACTCCCTGATAAACAGTCCCTCTCCAGCTTTCCTGTAGGCCCACTTTAGGTATTGGAAGGCTGATAATATATAGGCACGCATGACATTTTGGTAACAGGACCATATACCTGCTTTATTGTAGCAATAGTATCATCTTGGAGGCAATATTTGTGTTGGGGAAAAATGAGACCAACTGTGGAGTTTATTGAACTTCACTAATTTAGGAGAAATCAAGACAGAAAAAACTGCAGACTTGGATGTAGTTTGCTTGCTGTGAGCTGCAACCATGTGTAGCAGGTTTAACCTGACCTAGGTGGTAGTGCCAGCCTATGCAGCTGCTGTGTCTTCCTCTGTCTCAGCAGGTGTCTTTGTGCAGTGTACTAGACCTGAGACTAGGTCTAGATTGGAAAGAATTTTTTTCTCTTCCTCCTGGATTTCTGCACCTCTTCCCCCTCCATCCCGAATAATTTACTGAATAGTTGTGCCAGTGCATAAGCAGAGCAGGAACAAGCAGCTAGTGACAGCTGGTGGGACAAGGTATTACTACTTCAAGTAGTAATACCGCTGCTGCTGACTGAAAAACTTGACATTGACACTGATAGTTCTGAGGCTCAATTTCTTTGGCTTTAATCCATCTTGGGTTTGTTTGTTTGTTTTTAATAGGGAAGCCCTTTTCAAAAGAGCAAAAACTAAAGCGAAAAAGAAGCCACGAAAACGGTCCGACAGTTCTGGAGGATATAATCTATCAGATATTATTCAGAGTCCACCCTCTACAGGTCAGTGGGACAAAGGTTCCTTTTAGGTATAGAAATAGAACATAACGTTTAACATGCAATACGATTTCTGTACTTCAGTAAGGAAATCTTGCAAAGATTATGGTGTTCACTAGAAAAGAAATAGTAGACTTTGAATGGTGAATTCTTAAGATTAAGTTTTGTTTGAAAGGATGTTTGTCATATTAAGCTTGTGCCTGAAGTTTAGATTCTGTAAAAACATCTATTTTATTAAATAAAGTTAATGGACACTTTCCCATGTGGTTTTAGTAAGCGGAACATTTCTGTTAATGTGGTTTTTTTGGTTTGTTTTTTTTTTTTTTTTCTGGAATATAAATAAATCGGTCACTGTTCATTGAAAAGATGTAGAAGCCTTCATTTTCAACAGAAAACTGTCAGTGTTAGTTCCTGAAACTGTATTGTGAGAAAGAGAAGGAAAACTGGGCATAATCTTATTCTGAAAATATATTTAAAATAGTCTTAAACTTGCTTATACTTATTACAGTCTAGTATACTGGACTAGGTAAACTTCTGGTTATTTTGTATGCATCATATAAAGTGAATGAATGACTTTTGGGGTTTTTTGGTTGTTTGGGTTTTTTTTAAGCATTGTTTAGTTGGGTTCTCATGATTTAATAGTTTTACTCTCATTTCTTAGGCTCAGTAAAACTGGATAAAACTAACTCTGTGGAATCACTTCCAGAACTGTTAACATCTGACTCTGAAGGTAGTTACGCAGGAGTGGGTAGCCCCAGAGACTTGCAGTCCCCTGACTTCACAAAAGGATTTCATCCAGAGAGGACTGAGGTTGGATTTCTTTGTTCATAGCAATTTAGTTGTTTGTGTTTATCTAGGCCATCAAAAGCAGAGTTTGTATTTTGGAGTGTTTCTGAGAAGCTGTTGTCCTTAAAATGGAGTAGACAACTTCAAGTAGTTACTGTTTGTCTGATAAAGCAAATATAAATAAGTATTTCTTACTAAGCCTTCTAAGGGTAATTTATTCATGTAGTACCGTAATTAGAATTTTTATATGCTGTAGTGTTCAGAAAATTTCAAACCAAAAGAGCAATTATGTAAAGTCTTTATCTACTTCATTTAAAATGCAAAGCACATCTGAAGTTCAGAAGCCAAAAAAACAAAAACAGAAGCCAAAAAACTCCAGGAAAACCCTGCTGTTCTTCAACTACTGTAGTTGGACAGAGGTATGGTCCAGGATAACTGAGGCATAACTGGCAAAGAGAAATAAGTTTGAGAGAATTGTACCTATTTTAAGTGTTAAAGCTTTAGAAGTGAAATGTGAAGCGAGGGGGGGAAAAAAGTATAAAAAAAAAAAAAAGGTACAAATAGCAGACTGATCAGGGATTCAATGTGTTATTGATATTTTTGAGGTATCCTTTAAAATCTTTTCACTTACATGTCATTCAAGTTTGTAGCATCACTCTTTTTGCTAAATGAAAAAATGTGAGAATATTTATTCCATATTTTTCTGTCTTTTTTAGATGAAGGACAAAGCATGCAGTCAGGGTGTGAAACCCTCTCAACCTAACAAGGAGATGAAGTCATATAAGGGATCATCAGCATTGACACAGTCTGTTCCACAGTCCATTCCCAGTGCCAAAAATAATTCTACAAGCTCTCCCAATTGGGTAGCAACCAGTTTCAGGTAGAGTAATAGTTGTGGCGCCTACCTAACTTACAATCACTGTTCCACACTTGGTAGTGAATGCTAATAATATTCTGTTCAGACTAAAAAGCTATCCGCTCTTCAAAAGGATCATACGTTATTTGACACATGAAGTAAAGATTTTGGTAATTTAATAAAACTGGTACCTTTTTTTAATTATTCTTTGAGAAAGACACTTTTTTAAATACTTTGCAGTTTTTTGTAGAACGAGACCATGCTTGAAGCCATTGGAAGCTCTATTGTACTTTGACATTTTTAAGGCATGCCTTTAGACTTAAACGGACTGTGAAAATCAACACCATAGGTTTAACTGATACAGCTAATAGAAAATTGATCATTAAATTTATCTGTAGCAGTATCTGCATGTGAAAAAGGAGCAGTACTGTGATAGATTGATATTCTGTCTTACCTGGTGTCCTGTCTCTGACAGTTATCAATAAAGGTTTAATAGGTTTTAGGGAAATCATATAGCGAGACTTTCCCAGTTTTCCCAGGCTCTGTTGGTTTGTGGCTGACTGGCTTTGTTACTAGGGGTGATACAGCTGTAGAAATTAAAAGTTGCAGCTCCGACGTCTGTTGTTTGGTGAACAGGGTCCATTAGGGATCTGTGTATTTTTGTAAACCTAGTCTACGCAGAGAGGGTAACATATCCCACAACCAACTCTTTGGTCTTTCGACTGGTTGGAAGAAGCTCCACCTTCATCTGCTGTCTTAAGAGTTCTTTTCAAATGCAGTTTAGAGTATTGCATGGAAGGGGAACAAACAAAACCATAGGTCTTTGTTGTAATGTCACTGTACTTTTATGGGTTTACCTGGTACTCTTTCTTCACTTTTTCTAGTATTGCTGGTGTGATGCTAAGAAAAAGCAGGCAGCGCTGTTTAGAGTGTTTAAAGGATTAATACTGTAGTATATTTGGTTGAACTACTGTGGAGGAGCAGTGACAACAGGGTTGGGTGTGACCTCCCAGTGGTTAATTCACTAGTTAGTCTCTGGCAGTTGGGTTTATGTAGGGAGAGAGAGGGAGTGCTGCTTATGTTTTATTTCAAAGCCTGTCCTTGAATCTAGTTGTAACAGCTTAGTTTACAAATGCCTTAAAGTACACAGGTATTAATTTATAGTTTTATGTAAAGCTTGGAAGTGTCTGGATTCAATTCATGTTTATTTCTGTGGAAGTTTAAAATTAGGTCATTTATGAAAAAAACCCTGATTCCTAAAGTTTGACAACATTACTGGTGTTTGTATAGAGCTCTAATTTTGCAGAGTGTTCTGCCATGTGAAATAGTTTTAATCCTGTTCTTTGAAGAAAGATCTGCTTCAACCTTCATGAAAGAGCTGTGAGCAATGCCTCTCTAATACTTAGCATGAGTAGCTGACTACTAAATAAGTATCCTGGATTTAGGTATCTAATTTTTTTAAAGTAATCATAGTTCACATCTTTTTGTTTCATAGTATAATGAGTCTTGAAAGTATTTTTATAGTGTGCTCTTAAATATGTATGTATTTATAAAAGTTTTGTCAGAAACATTCTATTTGAGGTTTGCCATAATTGAGGAAACAGACATAAATTATACATCTGTTTACCAATCTTATGTATGATTTAGAGGATTTCAGTGAAGGCTGGAACTGTGGAATGTAAGTAAAAATGAATGCCTTGTAAGGTAACTTTTTATTTTTCATTTAGCCCTGCCAGCCCTCCTGCTATGGATCTAAGAACCATCATGGAAATTGAAGAAAGTATGCAGAAATGTGGAACCATGCCAAAAGCAAATTCAGGGTTGGTAAAAAACCAAGATCTATAAAAGAAAAGTGTGATAGACCAGCCTATTATGAATTTACTTAGTGGTTCAGGCAGCTCAGAGTTTAAAACAACCAGGAGAAAAGTTGTCCTATTTGTTTTTGAACGACTTTGTTTACTTCAGCTCATTATGGTGTTTTTCTGTGAGCATACAAAATTTATGCCTTTATTTTACTGTAATCTTGTTTGGTCAACTACTGCAAAAAGATGTCTTAGCTGTTGAAATTTGAAAGAAAGAGCTAGTAAACTAGTATCTTAAATCAGAGTGGCCTGCTATGCTGAGCTTTCTGATTTCCAACCAAAAAGAATTAAGTCTTGTCCCTAGCACTTTGGAAATTACTTGTGGACTACTACTGTAATTGATCCTGAAGTTTGTTTCTTGTCTGACCTCCCCCAGCACCCGTGGGTTGATAGTGACAATTCTTCCTCAGTAAGATGCAAGGGTGGTTCTTGCTTGCAGAAGCATCTCAAAGACACAGGGAGAGTGATGTACATTTTCAGGAGGCAGTGGATTAAACCTAGTGTTTCTTAAGTGGTGACATGTGGAAGAGAACTGGAGGTGGCTTTCATGACCTTTGAAGTGTAGCATTCTTGTAAAGGAAAGCTCGGACAGTAGTCCTGGAGTCTAGTAGACAGCTGTTGGCTAAGTAGATTCAGAAGCTGATAACAGCCAAGACTGAAGAATCCAAATAACTTAAAAACCCTATCATTACAAATAGAAAAAATGGCTATATTATGTTGAATACACGTCTTATGCATTAATATTTTTGGTTTAAGGAGCTAAGCTGCTGACAGTCTCTAAAAAAATAGCAAAATTAGAAAATAGTCTTCATCTGGTTCTACTCCATCAGTTTTGGAGTTTTGATTCCTACTCTGCATGTTTTCATTTGTAGACATCTCTGTGAAGAATAGTTTTATGATGGTTTTTTTTCTGTCACCTTTGATATTCATTGATCCTCCTTTTGCTCCCCAGCCATCCAACCCCTTTCCCCCCAGCTGTACTCCTCTTTTAGCACTCTAGACAAAGTATTTTAATTTAGGAAAGAAGTATTTCTCAGTTTAATTTGCAAGATTAAAGGTGAGTCATCTCAGAGGACGCTCATCTTACATCTTCTCTCTTTGTAATATCAATTCACAGCAGAATAACATCTCATGGAATCAAGCTTTCTCAGAAGCAAAGGAAAATGATTGCCCTGGCAGCAAAAGATAATGGATCAGTAACTAGCAGCATGGAGCCTACTACGCTAATAACCACACCAGCCCCACCTATGAAAGTTGCAAAACTAGGGAATGCATGGTATGTTACAAATCAGATACCACTTTTTCTTTGGAGGATTTTTACGTTGAATAGTCTCTTCAAAGCAGTTTCTTAAATAAAAATGGCCTAGGTTCTGTTCATTAAAAAGACTGGCATTGAACTATTTGTATCTACATTTGGTAGTAATCTAGAAATTCAAAGGGGGCAGGGAAATGCAATGGTTGCAGTTCTTTGAAATTTTGCTGTAGTGAGTCAGAAGACAGCATCCATCTGGTTCTCGCATGTGTGTGATGTGGTATTTGCAGATGGTATCAAAGTGAAGCATAGAAGAAGAAGAAGGATGAGCACAAGCTCTGAAACTTAGTCAGGAAGAAGTTACTAAAAACCATTATAAATGCTGTTTTTCTTCTGTCAAAAACATAAAGAAAAATGTTAGCCTGCCTGGGGGAAGGGGCTAGAATGACTTTGGAGTAGAGCAAAAATAGACCAAAATTATAGATAATAAAGTTATCTAGGTGGCTAGGAGCTGGAGAGAGTGACAGATGCTGTTAACAATTCTTACGGTGGAAGGATGCATAATGCGTTTAAAATGTCTTTTACTGCTGATTACACACAATTTAAATGTTCCAGTTAATATCACTGTATCAAATAGAAAAAAAATGGTTTATTGTCTGTTCAATGAACTAGGTTTACAACAATGAATGTAGTGAGGCGCTAACCCACGTCATGCTTTGTTCTTCACATTTGCAGTTGGTATTGGATGAAAGCATAAAGGTGTAACTGTAAAATTTGCAACCTATGTAAATTTAATATGTTTAATTACTACACAATAAATACCTAAGTGCATGCCCTTAACTTGAGGTAAATGTTGGACAGTTCTCCCCCTTTCCCTGTTCAAGAAGGTCTAGACTTTTATTGCAGCTTGCTTCTGTACTGGTACCCTGGAAGAATCGTGAGTCAGTCTTCTCTCTCTAGAGCTTACCTGTTTGTGCCTCGGTGGGAACAAAGCTTGCTGCATACCCACCACAGTCACCCTATTTTAAATGAAATATTTTTTCATCCAATTTAGCTGTTTTAAATGCTATTGCAGTAGTTTTCCTTTTGCATTGAATAGATTTCAAAGTAAAATAGGAATCTGCCTTTCAAAGGGTAGGTCTATTTTCCACAATTGGAGCCATCTCCCTCTTGTGTTTTTTGACTCTGTTTCCTTTGATCCTTTACATAAATTTGCTGCTCCTTTCAGAAGTAAGAGTAGTAAGCATCTGCTGGAATCTTTGCCTTTCTGCTATGCTCCTGCAAGTTCAAAATAGACATGTAGCCTGTTAGCTATTTAATGAGTGTATAGAGAGAAAAAAAAATCACATCACTAGCTGACTGAGGAAAAGGTAGGCTGCTTCCTTGCAGCAGTTGCTTCCTGAGAGGCTTTCTGTGTCAAAAGGTTTAGGGTAATATCTAGAATTGCTTGCTTCTCTGCTCCATTTCATTTATCTGTTACATCTTTCTTTTTTGGATGGATGCTATTATGATCAGCACCTTGAATTTGAAGTGCCTTTAGATTTGAGATTCCACATAGGTCTGTTCATATGCTATTATCTTACTAAGACCATAGTAATAACAGTAATGTCCCAGACCATAACAATGGTAAAATAGAGCTGGTGTTCAAAATATTTATCAGTAACGTATGGGGAAAAACTGTGAGAGTATGTTCTAATCATCCCAGTGCATTATAAATCAGATAATAATTGATTCTAAAATGGTATTCTTCTTCCAGTTATGACACCAGAACAAGCTTTGCTTCTCTAGTGGACACCATGCAGTACAATCAGCTGTATGGTTAAAGGGCTTTAGTATTTTACAGGGCTTGTCAAGGATCACATCAGTCTGATCTGAAATGGGCAGTTGTTCGGTCAATTTGAGGTAGTGTGGTGTGACGTGTCCTTCAAGTAGTGATTCTGACAGTGATGACTGCGATTCCTCTGAGGGTCAGTGAAAGTAGGAACAAGAAATCTTCTCTGTAGGCATCTGTATATTATGGGTTGATAACTAACTAAAAAAAATAGTTCTATGCCATATATTTCTAGTGTCCAACTTACAAGTTATAGAGGTATGTTACTACAGTAGTTACTTACAAAAATGAAATGCCTAAGATGTTTTGGTTTTAAAAATACCCAACACGTAATGTTTCAAGTGAATCTAAGAAAAGTTTGAATTATTTTGATTTATACAAGCAGGACTTTGAAAACAAATAGAGATGACAGATATCTACCATGTACACCTAATACCAAAATTAGGGTCTCATTTACTCCCCCCCCAGCGCCCAAAAGTTATTCTGATAAAACATTGGGCAAAGCCCACAATTTTGTCTTAAAGAGAAAAATAGAATGAGTTCCTTTGCACCTAAGGATTCAAACTCTACCTGACTTCTGAACTTTAATTGGGATCTTCACAATAGGACAAAGTTTGCAAGATTTATCTTCTGAATTCCAATGAGTTGATGAGTTTCAGAATCCTTAACACTGATCCTCTCAAATGCTCCAAAGAACATGCTACCTGCTTTACACAGGTGACTGCAGGTCAAGCAGCAAGTTATTTGGCTTAGCTGCTGGAGGTGCCACAGGTATAGCTCTGAGGCTTAAAATTTGCTGAGAGACTGATGGTTGAATCAGATGGTGACCAACACAGGAAATGCTGAGTTGTGCTATCCTTTTTTTACATTAAAAAATATTCCATCTACTATTTTTAATCTTACTACTAATGTTATAATTATGCATAAACAATATGTAACCTAATATCTACAATGACGACGTACAGAGTCTTACATACACAACTTGCACGGGCTCATTCACACACTAATTTACACATTGTTACAAACTCACCACCTTTCTACCTATCAGTGACCCAGCGTGGCAGCCACGCTCTTGTGCACTACCCAATGTCTGTGGGTGTCTGTGCTGATGTGGGAGGACGGCTGCAGCTGGCCAGGGGGGCCACTAATGAAGTGAACTGGGGCCTGCATGAGTCAATCCTTTTCCTCAGGCACCCAGCAAAGTCAGGGGCCTTTCTGTGATCAGTGGTCACAGGTGGGTCTTCTCTGGAGTCTTCAAAGGAACTTCCCCAGACCTGCCATGCTATGGCTTGGGCTGATGTTAGGGATCACTGGTGTAGGCATTTTGTCAACCAGTCATCTTAAATATCATCAGTTAACTTCCTTTTTTGTTTTACTAGCCACTTTCAAGCTGAAATTTTATTTATTTGTCTCTGACAGACTTCGGGTATCAAGGGAAGGGGCTATGAGAACTCCTCTGCAGGACGATGTTTGTATAGTGCGTCTGTCTTTCTCCAGCTTGGTCTTTCCCTTCTCCCCTTCAAACACAACTTTTAGATACAACAAAGCCTGAAGTAGGTTTTGAAGGACATTGCATAGCTTATCTAATTATCTGGGCTTCTTCAGAAGTTTTGTTTTTGTTTCATTGCTGAAGTCTTATTTTTCAGTGTAAGATAAATGACTGTTTAGAAGTATTTGTACTGATTGACCTAAGCACATGAGCTAGATGCCTCTAGTTAAACGATTTACTTCTTAACATAGGAAATAAGGTATCAGGAGAAGCTCTGATAAAAGGCATATAAAAGTATAGGGCATGACTTCCTTGTTCTGACTTCTGAATAGTTTGACTATTCATGCTATTAATCTGCTGTTTGATAGATAATTCCTTACCTCTTGGGTGTTATTTAATTTTAAACTACCAACTGCCTATGTACTATTCCTTGCATTTAAAAAGCAAGTATGGACTAATTTTTGAATATGCTTGGATAACTGTTTCCAGAAAATATATTGTGCTCTTAAGGTTCTGATTAAACAGGTTTTGAAAGTAGCTGGGTTGTACTGTGTTGCACAAACCATCTTAAGTGGAAAGGCCAGGGTGTACTTCAGGAGGATGGAATCCAGTCTAACGCTCATGTGGTCACCATGCATGATTCTGTGCGTTCCTCTGGCTGCTCATCTGGAAAATGCTGGTAGCTCAAGAGTTCAAGCAAAGAACCAGTGGGAAGTATATGAATATTTAAAATTTTGCCTAGCTGCTGGAAGGGAGTATTTGTTGAATAAACTTTAAGCTGCTTTAGGCAAGCCATCATTTATTTGATTGTCCCTGCTAGTTGTTCAAAGAATTTTTGTATGTAAGGTAGAATGGTGTTACTCATCTGCTCTAATACTATATTTGCAAAGTTGTAGTCTGTAAATTCACGATGGACTGTTGGAGTGCATTTGGCAATACATCGAGCTTTCCACGCATGCAATATAGTCAAAGCCATAGAACTTCAGTTCCCATGAAATAAGATATTCATCTTGGATGTGCAGTAAGCACACTTGCCAGAAGGGTGTGGGACCTTCCGGCTCTTTTTTGGTTGACTGAAAGACAGAGTCTGTCATGCACAATATCCTACCTTTTCCATCAAAAGAAACCTCCGGTTTCATAGTTTGTGGGGGACTGAACCTGTGTTCCTCCTTTGAAGAAAAGTGGTAATTAGAAGGGAGGGGTGGTGTGGAAATCATAGTAGTAATATTTTGAGAGTATGTCATGCAAGAAGCTAGGTGTTAACTTTATTAGTTCTCCAAATCTACTTTGATTGAGGGAGGAGGGTGTTGTATATTTGTTTTATTTTTTCTTTAAGTTCAGGAGAGCCTATGGCTTTTCAAGAGTGGAGCCATAATTAAATTTGAAGTCTCTCTTGAGAATTAACAATTGTGTATTTTAATGTCCAGCTTGTCAGTTTCTCAGTATTCCAGCTCATATTGAAACATCAACAGCTGTTTTGGAACTTCATGCTTTGATGTCTTGTAGTTACAGCTTAGAGAAACTTAGTCATATTCCACTTTTTTAAAAAAGATGTATAAATTAGTTCTTCTGATGCTACAAATTAGAGAGAAATGACAGTGTATCAGGCAAGACAAGCTGAAACTTAGAGTTGTTATTATTAGGAAAATTTGTACCATTTTAAGCCAAACCATTTTAAGCCACCAGTAATTGTTTTGGAGGTTCACAAGGTTTAAATGACGCAGGGTTGAGTGGTTTTGGGGGGGGGGGGGGGGTGTTTGGAGGGGGTTTTGGTGCTGTGTTGCAAGTGGATCTGATTGCAGTACAGAATTTTCATTAAAATGGGTAGGCTACTTAAATTGTTAGTAGCAGAAGAAGCTTCTGTGACAGCAAATCCGAAGAGAATCATTTGCCTACCTGATATAATAAGTTTAGGGAAGTTCTAGTCAAACAGTTGCCCGGACTCCTGTCTGCCAGCTGGTAGCAGGAATAGAGGATGTACAGAATGACTCTGAGCCCCTGCATCTGGAGGTTCCCATTCTACTTTCCATGCCTTCTGTGCTGCTCATACAGCATTGAAAAAACCACCGACAAAAAAACCCCCAGCACTTAAGCCCACCTGGTTTAGCATGGGGTTCAGGTGTCATACATAACTTTCAGATGCTTTCGTTGTAAGATTTCAGATACAATGTTGCAATGTTTAAATTACCTCATGTTTGTTTTCTTAAATTGTATACCACATAGATGTAGTTTCAAAGTCTTTGGCTTCAAATACTTCCCCTCTTATGGTAGCTGCACAATTAGGACTGTATAGAAAGCTTGTTTTACTTCAGTAGTGCTTGTAATTGATCTCTTATTTCTTTGCGTAGATAATGAGCAGAGCTATTCTTCTACTATGTATTTTGTATATTTGACAGTGTGTGGGACTACTATGCTGAGTAAAGTTAAATGTAAGCAAATGTATGAAGAATTAATTCCAAAATCTTGATAGGTAAGGCAAAGACTAATGGTAACTGCCTTGAATTCTGTAAATGATAAGGCTTTTGAATCAGAAAGTGTTCAGTATAGCTATGATGCTAAATTGCTATATTTTCATACTGGTTTATTTTTGAAAGATAATATGCAGTCTTTAGCTCAGTAACAGTACACATTATACTTGGGCAAGTAAAAGAAAATGAAGCATATCAGTTTTATGAATTTCGTTGTGGATTAAGTGATTTATAGAACCTGCAGCAGGTATGAGTAACTCATTCAATATCTTGGGGAAAGAAGATCACCTATACTTGACTTTCGTGGTGGTAAACGAACAGTATTAGAACAAAAGTATTAGGGCATTATGTGATTTATGAGAATACTTTTCAAGGAATAATACTGTTAGAAAAGGTACAGCTTGTCTAAGACAAGGTCTATATGAAAATAAAACTGCTTTTTAAGAGGATGAGTTGGGGGTAATACATGGAGGGCTGGTGTTTTGGGTTTTTGTGGTTTTGGTTTTGTTTTCTTTCTAATGAAACTTCCATACTACTGGCTTGTTCTGTTCTCGTAGGTATTTATTTTCTGATGTTTACCTGTTTGACCCAAAGTGACTTATTTTAGTGAATGGGGTCCAGCAATCATAATGGTGAGATACAAAAGCCAAGTAACTGAAAAGGCCCTCTTTGCTCTCAGAATTGTAGAACTGGAGTCTTGGAAAGTGCCAGTATACAATGAGTTGTTGGGTTTTTTTTTTTTTAGGTCATCTTCATTACATTCTGCTTTGCCAAAGTCATTTCGTGATCTTGTAATGGAAGAAGAAAAATGTATGAGTGCGAATAATTCACCTGGTACTGGTATCAAAAGAGGTGGATATAAAGGAACTGAGGATTCATCAGCCCAAAACACCATAAGGTAAAAGACCAGTCTTTTCCTAATTAATCCACCATTATACAAGAACCACAATAACCTGTTTAAATTCTGCTGAAATAAGAAAGGATAAAATTGTCATTTTAAAAAAAAAAAAAATCCTGTAAGCATCCTATTAATAGAATCATTAAAAGAATTTTATGAACAGAATACTCTTACAAATAGGAGACTTAAAGACTAAAGCAATTTAATGCCACTGCTAATATTTTGTTTGATGTTGAAAGTGTTTGTGTCTATATATACGAACATGTGTATGTGTGTGTGTGTGTATATATATGGATACAAACATGGCAGACTCCAAACAAAATATGTACATGTGTGTGCGTACACTTGTATATGTATGTATATATAAAAATGATAAATCTGTATTTTCTAACTTCTGTAGAAATTAGATATTCTTTAGCATTCAGATATGGCATGCATGAAACAGAGTTTGCTTAGTAGTGTTTCTGTGTAACCACTGAGTGGATAAAATCAGTTTATTCAAACACAGTTCTGGCATTTCCTGATCTGAGGTTTTTTTGTAAGCTGACTTAATTGTTTAGGTGCAATTTTTCATGGATGAAGAGGGCTTACTTAAATATTGATGCATCGGTTATGTCTGTGTATTGTAATTACTGGGGAACTATAATTCTAAGGACAAAAATAACTTGTTCTGAGGTGCACGTGAATTGTATGCCTAGTTATTAGACAATACTGCTTTTTGGTCAAACTGTTTTGGCCACGCATTCTCTTGCTACCTCCAATAAACCTCTGTTTTGGGTTAAAATAACTGTCTAAGCTGAGGAGAGAAATCTCAGCCTTATTCCTGAAAGTCTGTATGACTGAGTTGTCCACTCACCTGCATCTCTTCCTGCTATCATCAGTAAGTTTGCATGCTGTGCATTTCAAAAATATTTACAACACAGAGGTCCTAAAAATCTTTCAGACTTTCCCACCCACCGTCTGGAAGCAGTACAGGCCAGCTGCCCCATGGTAGTAAGGGAGCCAAGGGTGACAGCAAGACTGGCTGGGCAGTGGCTTCCCTGGCCAGGGCACAGCCGCGCTGTGCTGGAGTGAGGTGAGCAGGGCAGCTCCGTGACAGAAACCAGGCTGAGCTGCAGACAGGTTTATTGGGATGAGGCAGGGTTGAGGTCAAACATGCAAGTCAAGTCAGGGTCAGGTACAGCAAGGCTGGGCTTGGGCGTAGCTGCAGCATTGCTCAAGAAAGGCCTAAGACTGAGGGACTGAGCTTAAATACAGCTCCTGAGTAAAGAGGGGGAGCCCTGTGAGCCTTTGCACAGCTCTTCATTGCAACTCAACTCTGTTCATAGCAGCCTGACTCAGGTTTACATGGTTGTGCTGAGGGAGAAGAGTTGCAGAGCCTGTTGGTGCACAGGGAGCCCTGACACTCATTACCTGCTAGTTTTTCTTATGAACTCCTGTTCTATCCTTCTCCAAAAACTGTCCCCTCCATAAGGAAAGGTAAGTTCTGCTGAGCCTTCCTCTTAGTTGCTCAGCTTGTATAGAAACTGGTGTTTCCCTAGGACAGAAGTAGTATGTGTCCTATTGGTAGATAAAGACCAAAATGAGGGTAGAATTATAGGAACATTGTGTGTGGGATGGTGTTAGAGGAGAGAGGTAGGAGTGATTTGGAGAGTGTGTGTGATGGGTGGGCATTCTTCAGGAACAGAGGGATAAAGCTGAAGTTATTGTGATGAGTGGAGATGTAGGGACATGAAGCACAAATCTGCAGAAAACCAGGTATCATTAATTTTGTTGCAAGCAAAATAATAAAGCTTCTCGTCATATGGGAGATGGCAGGGGCTGGTAATAAGGGAATTTGAACTGGATACTATTATTAGCTTTGTCACACCTGCTCTGCGATCTTCGTAAAGTCATTTCTTTTCCTTTTGCATTGCTCTGTCTAGTTTGTGCAGTCTCCCAGTCTGTATGCTCTCAAAGTAGATTATTTGAGCTGAATCCAGGTCTAATACGTTAGCTGTCTGAAAATGATACATTAAGCTAGTGGAAGCCTAGATGACTAGATTGACTATAATGAGTTGGAAAAGATGGCACTTTCAGAGCCATTTCAGGTTGTTTTGAATTGTGTCTGAAGATGCTTATTTCTCTTTATTAGATATAAAGAGCCTAGGTGACTAGTTCATCCATCTGAAAGTTAGAAGTTGAGTTTCTAGTTTGATGTAATTTTATTCTTTGACTGTACAGTTCCTGTCACAGTAGGCTCTGATTTTTGCCTACGGCATTCAAGGGCTATTTCTGTGAAGATAAATTATCCACACCCTTACCTCTTCCTTTTTAAGGAAAGGAAATTGCATGTGCATAGAGCATAAGTAATCCTCATCTGCTGATGTCAGACTCACTGATGGGATGTTAAAAATATTTGCATGGCTACTGTTCCTGCTTTGTCTTTTTTCTTTTGATAAACTGTGCAGTAATTAAACTGACAATTTTCTTAAGTCGCTGGATGAGGGGTTTTTGGTGGTTGCATAAACGCTCTTTCATATACTGTCACCTTCCAATTTATGCAACCCAGAAATTTTCTGTAGATGAACCATGTCGTGAATGTGAAGATGTGAACTGGATTCAGTCCAGAGGCAGATCAGCCCAAAAGCTGGGCCGTGTGGATGTGGCTGCATTGTTTCCAGGGACAGCTCAGCCTTGGGAGTTATGCTGTGCAGCTGTGCATGTGTTGCTCATAGTCCAAGCTAAAATCATAGGCCTGCCATGACTTAACTTTGTTGTGGCAGCCTGGGTTGTCTTCACTGTGTTACTCCAGGGAGCAGTGAAGAGTCTTAGTGGAAACAAGTCTTTGTGGCTTTGCGTGGGAATGGCCTTGTTCTGGCATGGCTAATAATGAGCTAATAAGTAGTATATGACTCAAATGGTACAGCAAAACCCAAGAGGTTCTGCAGAAGACCAGGCTTTGTGTTCCTTTTCTGAGAGCAGTCATTAGATCAGGGAGGCACTGGACCTGAACTGGCTTCAGATGTCAAATCCTCAAGAAACACTGGGGACCTGAGTGCTGGGACATCTTGGTGGCTGTGCAGGAGTCATGCGAGTTCAGCCAACTGAGATAATCAGGTTGGTTCAGTACTGATGATACTTGGCTGGTTTTTTTTTCCAGGCAGAACCACTTACGTGTCTGCATCAGTCTTTAATTTTCAAGACTTCCAGGTTTCCAAGTTCTATATTTTTGAGGCTTTTTTTCAATTTTTCTGTATATGCTAGCTTCCCCTTTCCTGTCTGTTCCATTTCTTCTAGTTATTTTGATGCCAGCTGAGGAATTAATCTAGCATGTTGAAATATCTGCAGTTGATTTAATATCTGGACTGAGTGCCTTGCTAGCAAAAACCACAGATGTATGTATGTACAAACAGCTACAAAATATCTGAACTGCTTCCTACAATTTAAAGCCACATTTAAATTGAGGGAGATGATACAGGTATTTATCTTTTAATTGATCACTAGAGTGTGCTGTGACACTGGAACTATTAACTCCAGTTTTTGGAAATTTCTGTTGTGGTGTTTTTTTGGTTGTTGTTTGGGTGGGTTTTTTTTTGTTTAGAAGTCTTACCTGGAAAGAACTTTTTATCTGTATTGAAACAGGGTTGTTAAGTATAACAATCTACTTGGATACATTTCTAGTAGTGCTGTGAGTTCTTTGGATTGTGAGTGGGAGGAAGAGCACGGCTGTCAAATGGGCTGGATTGGTGTTGGTTACTGTCAAATGTGCAGGAAGGTGAGCATTACTAAAGCAGGTGAAAAAAGAGATAAAGTTGAGAGATGACACCAGAATAAAGGCATTTAGTAAGTTGTACAAACATGCTCTTAATTAAACAAACCAGCAAGCAAAAAACTGCCTTCATCTGCAGTCCTTCCTTCCTTCCCTTTCTCTGGTTCTTTCCTGCTTTTTATTATGTTATTATCTTTCTGAAGTGCAGTAGAAGCTGGAAGCTGATTTATCTAGGCTTCAGCTAAAAAGTCATCCCCTGCTGTTGAAATCATAGAATAATTTAGATTCTCTAGTTCAGCCTCCTGCTCAAACTAGATCATGTTGCTCAGGGCCTGGTCCAGTTGAGTTGTGACTGCTTCCAAGTATGAAGATACCCCAACTTTTCTGGGTAACATATTCCAGTGTATGATCATCCCCACAGTGCGATTTATTTATTTAATTAATTAATTAATTTTCCCCTTGCATCTAACTGGGATTTCCTATTTTGCAGCTCCTGTATGTTGCCTCTTATTCTGTCACTGTGCACCTCTAAGAAGATTCTTGCTGCATCTTTTCTCTACCCTCCAGTTAGGTAGCTGAAGATAGCAATGAGATCTCTCCTTTGCTGCCTTCTTTTAGGATTAACAAAACACAGTTCTCTCTTGTGTGCTCCAGCCCCTAATCTTGGTAGCCCTCCACTGGATTTCTTCCAGCCTGACAGCATCCTTCTTGTATTGAGGAGCCCCAAACTGGATATGATAGTCTGTACATAGACTAACAAATACAGCATAGAGGAGAAGAATCACTTCCTTTGACTGCCTGGCTACACTCTCGCTAGTACAGCCTAGTATGCAGTTGGCCGCCTTTGCTGTAAGGGCACGTGCCGATTCATCTTTGACTTGCTGCCAGCCAGGACTCTGCAGCTCCTTCTCTGCAGAGCTGCTTTCTAGCCAGTCAGCCCCTGGCCTGTATTACTACGTGGAGCAATTCTCTTCCAAATACAGGACTTTGCACTTGCCTTTGAAATTATGAGTTCTTGTTTGCCCATTTCTCCAGCCTCTTGAGGGCCTTCTGAATGGCAGCATGGTGTCCAGAATGTGGACTGCTGCACCCTCCCCACACACTGCCCATTGATCTGTGGCCTTGCTGAGAGTGCACTCTGTCCTACCGAAGATGCTAAACAAGATTGGTCCCAGTATCAGTCCCTGAGAACCACCACTGGTACTTGGTTTCCGGTTGGACTTTGTACAGCTAATCCACAATCCCTGAAGCCCTTCAGTCCAAACCATTTTCCACCCATCTAGTAATCCATTTGCTCAGTCCATATTTTTCAGACTGAGTATAAGGATATGATAACAGAACATGTCAAATGTCTTGCTGAAGCCAAAGAACATGACATCCACTGTTCTCTGCAGTCTGAAGAGCCTGTCATCCTATCACAGAAGGCAATCAGGTTGATCAGACACAATTTGGCTTGTGTCATAAATCCATGCTGGCTATTCCTAGTTATCTTCTTGTCCCACATATGCTCAGAAACTACTTGCACAAGGATTTGCTCCACAACCTTCCCCAGGATTGAGATGAGACTGATCAGTCTGTAGTTCCCCATATCCTCCTTCCTGAAAATGGGTGTAACATTTAGCTTTTTCTAGACATCAGGAAACCTCCGTAGCTGGTTGGTTTGTTTTTCTTCTTGCTAATATAGAAGCCCTTCTTTTCGTCCTGCACATCCCTCAGTTGTTTCAGCTCCAGCTGAGCATTGGCTCTTAACTCTGTTGCTGTACACAGAAGTAATATTTCTATTTTCCTCTGGTGCAGACTGTCCCTGCTTCCACTGTTTATATGTGTCCTTTTTGAATTTGAAGTCCATCTAGAGTTGCTTGTTCATCCCTGCCAACCTTCTGCCACACTTGCTTGACTGAAGGCACATTTAAATGATCTGGTTTTCCGTTGTCCTTGTATATCAGAAATCAGTCCAAGTGCTGCCTCTATGAAGTGTAGTCATTCTCTCTAGGTTAGAGATAATTTTTAGTCTTCTCTCAGAAGATGATCGGTGGAAGACTCAGTATCAGTTACTCTTCTCTGCATCTATGACAGTTTAGTCTTCCTTGAACCTAAGAGACCAAAACTGAAAGCTCGTCCAAATAAGCTTTGTTCATTGTGGTATGTGTTGGCAAAAGTATTTGTATCAAATGGAAACAACTCTGTTTTTTTCCCAGCCACATACTTCTGATTCATTATCATGATCACTACACCCTGGATTCTCCTTTTTCTCTTCAAACTGAAAAAACTCCCAGCTTAGTTTACTACAGCCTTCACTTCACACAGTCTTTTCTTTCGTACTTCTGAATTTCCCTTCCCATTGCTTTGTTCCACAGTCATACTGTTCATTTTTATCCTTTGCTAAATTAATAGCATCTCTTAATATTGTCTACTGATTTGAGCTTTGCTGCTTATTATGTCCACCAACATTAAAAACTCAGTTATATTTCTTTTAGTTAACTTATCCTCTAAAATAATGATTAACCCAGCTGTAAAGTGGGTAAGGAATTAGCTATGTAGGAGAAATATGAGAAACTGGTTTTAAAAAAAAAAAAAAAGGTTATATGGCACTTGTCTCAGTGTCATACAGAATTCCTATATTCATTTATCACACTTATCTGGCATGACGTGATACATTTCTTAAATAAAATAGGATTCTCTAACCTGCCATTGGTTTTCTTTTACCAAAGATAAAACAGAAAAAAATTACAATATACTGATTTTCTACTTTTTTTCCCCCATTTTTAAAAATTCTTCAACACATCCGGAAAAAGCATTGCATATTAATGAGGTCAAAATAAAGGAACTGCAGATTGAGACTATATCTGGAGAATGGTACGGCAGATGTGAGCACTCTTGTCATGGAGCTGTTGTTTCATGTGTCAGTTCTTTCAAAGCTCTGGAATAGTGGTTATTTGGCAACATCCAGTTTGGAGAGTACCACACCTTTTTTGGTTTCCTCTCCACCCAGGGTACCGTGGGCTGACCTGCCAGTGTCTGATATGATCACCAGTACTGAAAATGGAGGGGAAGGATCATCTTGACTCACATGAACTGTGCTTTCCTGGTGGAAACACAGAAGTAATACACCTTCTGCCAGGTCATATCTGCTGGGTTTAATTCAAGGGAGTGACACTGTAGAAAGCCTCTTTTGAAGTCCAGCATTATGCCCTGGCAGCTGTTGCTGCAGATTTTCTTTTTTTTTCCTCTGAGCAGTTAAACTTGGTTCATTTTGTTCCTTGGGTAGTTGACTGTTTGATGGGCAAAATTATATTTTGTGACAAAAAGCTGGGCATGGTTCATTTAAATGCCTTTTTTGATGATGGATGTTGCATTTCAGATTTTTTGAGATTTTGCCTTCATTGCTTAGTGGTAGGAATCGTGATTCTTGTTGTCTTTGGAATTGTGTTCTGGGGAGAATATTCCAGGCAGAGAACCTAGCAGTTACTGGAATTCTCTTAGCTTTCTATAGATTTTTCCTCTTTTCCAAGAGTTTGTGGCCACTTACAGAGGATTACCAAAGCCTTAAAGAAAACTGAGACTGATTTATTGAAATACCAACACCCTTAGAGGTTTTTACAGTGCCATAGAATAATTCAAAAAAGTCTGCTAGCATTTCATAGTATGCTGTAACATTTTTTTAAGAGCTCTGGAAATTGCAAAAGTTGCCAAAGATAGGGACCTATTCTCATTATTTACTATCTCTTTCCTTCCAGATGTAGGATTTTTCTGACAAATCTACTTGTTTCTTAAGGCATACAATATACCAAATGTGACTTCTTTTTGTTGAGAGTTTAACATTTTGCAACTGAACAAAGTATCTTCCTGTTGGGAACTCTTTATTGATATTTCAGGGTTGGTTTTTTTTTCAATTCTGTTAATTCTAGTTTTATGTTATTCTTATGAATGTGGGAGGTGGTTGCAACATATGTACTGAAAGTCCGTAATTTCTGGGCTTATACCTGAGGAAATAATTTACTAGTGCACTTTTAGCACTGTTTTTTTCACACAAAACACTTAATTTGAATACAGGACAATTGTTTGGTTTTTTAAGTTGAAGCCATTCTTTTCATATTAATTGCAAATGTTTATAGGCAATGCTGTTAGTGCATAACTCAGTTGACTATTTTACATGTAAAAAACCCTTTTTTATTTTTAAAAAAGCACCTCAGTTCAAATGCTCAAATGTTAGGAAATGCCAGAATTAATGCCCAAGCTGAAAATCCATTGAGTTCTGGTAGTCAGAAATGAGCATCAGTGTCTTCTCTAGTCACAGTATCACACTTAGACAAATTCGGCATTACATCCTAATGCCTTTCCCCTGGAAAAACCCTACAAACTTGTAATTGCCTACTGTAAATTTGTACCTCACAGTACAATGTAGTAGAATGCTCTGTCGGTGGCTTTCACTCTCCTTTCCTACTTTTTTCTAGGTGCACCACTAGAAGTAGCCCAGGTCTGGATGACCATGTACTGGATTCTCCACAGCTGGAGAGTCATAAGTAAGTTTGACAGTGGCTTAGATTCTGGAGCTTGTTTCTGTGTGTTGTGCTGACCTTGTTCTTGATGATGCCTCATAATGTCATATGTTGTGGGGTTTGGTTTTGTTTATTTTTTTATTTTTTTTTTTTTTGCAGTCCTTGGTTAGCATCATCACCAACTAGATCCCCTGTGATAGCACCTGTCATGTTTTCAGCTATTGTAGAGGAAGAGCTCCAGCAAGAAGCTGCTCTGATTAGGAGCAGAGAAAAACCTTTGGCTTTGATCCAGGTAAAGCACTAAGTACTGCAGCTGTGAAGTTACACAAGGAGTTTCCAATGGCTGTTTCAGAGACCAGTTTCTAGGATTAATTATGTATTTATATGTGTAGTATCATTTACATAATGGTATTAAATACCATTTAATAATAACTTTACGTTGCTGTTTGATAAGGTAGGCCTGTATTAAAGTCAAATTGATGACTGAGTCCATGATTAAAGCATTCATAGCATCAGAGAATGGTTGAGGTTGGAAGGAACTTCTAGGAAATTGTCAAATCCAAACCCCCTCTCAGAGCAGGGTCAGTTAAAGCAGGTTGCTCAAAGCTGAGTCCAGGTAGCTTTTGAATATCTGCAAGGATGGAGACTCCATGGACACTCTGGGAAACCTGTTCCAGTGTCCAACCACTTTCACAGTAAAAGAGAATTTTACGTTTAAATGCAGTTTTCTGTATTTCACTGGGCACCACTGAGAAGAGCCTGGCTCAGTTGTCTTTGCTCCCTCCCATCAGATATTTATATACTTTGATAAGACTTCCCTGAGCCGTCTTTTCTCCACACTAAACAACTGCAGTGCTCTCAGCATCTCTTCATGTGTTAGATGCTCCAAGTTCTTAATCATTTTTGTATCCCTTCACTGGAGTCTCTCCAGTATGTCCAGGTCTCTCTTGTACTGGGGGGTCCAGAAGTGGACCCAGCACTCCAAATGTGTCTCACCAGTCCTGAGTAGAGGGGAAGGATCACCTATCTCAATCTGCTGGCAATGCTGTCCCTCATAGCTGTCACTCTTCTGTGCCACATGAGGACATTGCTGACTCATAGGCAGCTTGTCCACCAGGGCCCCAGATCCTTTTATGCTAAGCTCTTTTCCAGCCTGTCGGTCCCCAGTGTGTACTGGTGCTTGGGGTTATTCTTCCCAGGAGGTGGACTTTCCATTTTTGTTTGTTGAACTTAATGAGGTTCCTGTTAGCACATTTCTCCAGCCTTTCTGGGTCCCTCTGGATAGCAGGACAACCCTCTGGTGGGTCAGCCACTTCTGATTTTGTATTGTCTGCAACCTTGCTGAGGGTGCACTCTGTCCCATCATGTGAGTAATTAATGAAGATGTTAAACAGTACTGGCCCTAGTCTCAATCTCAGCATTGGTGCTAGTGACTAGCCTCTAGCTGGACTTTATGCCACTGATCATAACCCTTTGAGGTCACCAGTTTAGCCAGTTTGCAGTCTGTCTCACTGTCCGTTTCTGTAGTCTGTACTTAAGGTTGTGAGGATGTGGGACACAATGTGGAAAGACTTGCTAAAGTTGAAGTAAGCAACATTAACTGCTTACTCCTCATCCACCAAGCCAGCCTTCTCACCATAGAAAGCTACCAGGTTTGGCAGGCATGATTTCCCTTTCATAAATCCATGCTGTCTATTCCCAGTGACCTTCTTGTCCTCCATATGTTTGGAAATGACTTCCAGGAGGATTTGCTCTTTCACTTTCCTAGGGATCAAGCTGAGGGTGACTGGTAAGTAGTCAGCCAGATCCTCCTTGCGTTTCTTGAAGGTAGGAATGAAATGACATTTGCTTCCTTCCAATCCTCAGGAACCAGCCCTTATTGCCACAACCTTTCAAAGATGATTTTTTTTTTTTTTTTTTTTTTTTTTGGCGAGTGGCCTTGCAAATGATATTGGCAAACTTTGATCTCAGGGGCCTGGGATTGCTGAAGGCTGGTCTTACCACTAAAGATAAAAATGAAGAAGGCTGTTAGTTCCCCAGCCTTATCCATGTCCTTTGTCATTCAGCAGTGGGACCATGTTTTCCTTGCTGCTGTAGAAGCCTTTCTTGTCGTCCTCCATGTCCCTTGCCAGATTCAAGTCCAGTTGGGCTTTGACTTTCCTAATTCTGTTCCTGCATGCTCAGACAATGTCTCTGTTTTCCTTCTGGATCGCCTGTCTCTGATTTCTTTTTGTTTGAGTTTTGTCAGGAGCTTTTTTTTTTTTTTTTTTTTTTTGTTTCGGGGCAGCCCCCCTGCCACTCTTGCTTGGCTTCCTGCTCATTGGCATGGACAATTCTTGAGCTTGGAGGAGGTGATCCTTAAAATCAACCAGCTCTCCTGGACCCTTCTTCTCTTCAGGGCCATATCCCACTATTTTTTCCAAGCAGGTCCCTGAACAGATCATAGTCTTCTCTTCTGAAGTCCCAGATTGTTATCCTGCTGTTTGTCTTGTTTCCATCTCTCGGAATCCTGAGCTCCACCATCTCATGGTTACAGCAGCCAAGGCTGCCCTCAACCTTCTCATCCCTGACCTGTCCTTCTTTGTTTGCAAATATGAGAGCCAGCACAGTGTCTGCCTTCATCAGCTCCTTGATCATCTGTGTTAGAAAGCTTTCACCAATGCAAACCGCCTGGAGTGCTTGTGCCCTGCTGTGTTGCCTTTCCAGCACATATCAGGGTGGCTCAGGTTTCCCATGAGGAGCAGGACGTGCAAACATGAGGTTTCTTTTGAGTTGTCTGAAGAAGGGCCTTATCTACTACTGCTTCCTGATTAGGAGGTCTGTAGCAGACACGCATTCAGGACTAGTAAAGCCAGATCATAATTGTGCTACTGGTGTAAATGTAGATCTGGCGCTGACATACATGTTATGTTTTCCTTCCAGATCGAGGAGTGTGCTATTCAAGATTTATTAATCCACTATGAAGCTTTTGACAACCCTGATGAATTTGTGACTGTTGAAAGGGCTCCACAGGGACCTATAGCTGCACCTATGTGGAACAAGCACTAATTTATACTCTTCACAGTCCATGTTGTACGTGCACTTCTGAAGTTCTAATTCTCATTACAAGTAGAACGGGACTGGAAGAACAAGAATCATGTAATTTTTAACATCAACGTTCAAACACTGCACATAATCACTAGATATTTGTTAGAGAGAATGGAAATAATGTGTTCACTGTGTCCTTCACCCACAGTATATATTGTACGTATGTTTTGAGAGACTTTCCTTAACAAGGCATATTATTAGTAACGTTACATGAAGCTGTAGATTGGAAATGCATTTGCTGTTCTTAAATTGTGAGGGTTTTTTGTTAAATTCACAGGTGGCTGAAAAATGAGTGCTTATTTTGTGACTTAATGTGGAATTGAATGTGCAGAATTATACATCTTTAAAGTCTGGGAGGGGGGATATATTCTTCAGAGCTTTCTGGCTAATATGGACTATTGCAAAAAGTTTGTGCTTGAACTTCACATAAAGTACAGTTTGATAACGCAGTTTTCCTTAAGTTATGTGTGTAAGCACTGGTTCTCTGATTGTTGCAGCCAGTATTTTTTACTGTTGTGCCCCACGATGAACCTCTGCGCTGTACCGAAGTGCCCTGCGATTGCCTGCTCTCAGTTCAGTTGTGCATGTTTTTTCACTGTCGTGAGGCTGGCCTTGGAGCAGTCAGCTCTGTTGTGAAGTAAAGCACACAGTTGAATAGAACGTGGTGGCACTTAGTTAGCTCATCTATAGTCTTATTCTGATAAATATGGTACAGTTTTAGAACCACTGTGTTTAAAGTACAATTCACTTGAAGTGCTGGGGAAATAAAAGATCTGTGTATTCATTGTTAATGCTATAGGGACGAATGCTTGACTGTGGAATTTGCAAACACCTAACCTTCAAAGATTATCATAGGTGGCTTTCAGTATTGTGTGTTCCAAAGTTCTCTGTGCCTGGTTTAAACAAATTTATATACATATTAAAAAAAAAAAGTAGCCTTACCTGCAATATTCTGTCTAGTCTGTCTGTTTGTATAGGTGTGTTTGAACTTGTACTTTTTCAATAGTGTCAGTACTCATGAACTCTGGAAAACTGGAATTGAGAGCTACAGAAGATGAATGTAGAGAATTGATCACTGTGTGATAAAAGAGTTGAATCTTGAAAAAACCTATGTAGATATGTCTAATGGTTTCAGGTCAAGCTACACCAAAAAATCCCCCACAAATATTGTAAACAAATGCAATAAACCATAAAATGATTTACACAAAGTTAGTGTGCTTTTATGTGCTGTCTATATATAATTAATGCTTTAGGTAACTATAGAGTAATCTAAAAGTATTTCTTTTGTATATGAAACAAGAACTATAGGCGTTTTGAAGTTATACAGGCAAAGGAAGACGTAGCTTTTAATTCTATTTTAAATTCTACTGGTGATTCATTCACTATACTAATGAGAATACTTGCAGTAAGTGCTTCACTTGATGCACTGCAGGACCTTCAAGCCTACTGAAACTGTCCTTCTGAACTAAAAGAAAGCTTATGTACTGTGAAAAATAGCTATAAAAGCAGTGGGCCTTTCCAGGTGTGAGCCAAATTTGCTCTCAAATATAAAATTATTGTAAAGTCACTGGTTCATGTTTTGATTTCCCCCCCCCCAATTTGATCAGAATATGCTGTTTGAAATATTATTGTCCTGTCATTGTAAGAGGATTCATGCTTCCACAGTGCCCAAGAGCTTGACTACTTTTTAAATTCTGGGTTTATTGCTGCATTTTGCTTATCGGTTGTCACCGATTGTACTTCATATTCACAAAACAAAGTGAGGAATAGTCAGTGTACCACTCTTCTGAAATTGAGAACCTTTTTTAAACTGTTGTGTTATAACAGCTTATGGTTAAAATGTGTCACAGAAAGCTGTGTAAACTTACAGATTCCATTTTTATTTAACTTCCTTGGAAATTAATAGAGTTTAAAATCTCTGAATTGTACTTAAAAAACGTCAAATTATAGTGGAAACAAACCCAAAAATTTCTAAATCCCTGGATACACTCTGGGGATAGCTTATGGTACACATGAAAACCCAAACAAAAATCCAGAACAAGGCAGTTGCATCAACAGATGTAAATATCTTTCTGTGGAAGTGGTAGAACTTTAAATTTTCTTCAGTTGCATACTTTGATCAAAAAGTATCGTTTTGCAGTATTAATGTGAGGTCAATCTATATACATATATATATATTTATATATACTTGCATAGACTTGACAATTGCATCATCATCAAGATTCCAAGCAACCTCTGGAGAATGCCCAGTCCAACTCCCCTTGCTCAAGCAGGCTCAGCCAGGGCAGGTTTCTTCATCCCTGTCCAGTCAGGTTTGGAGCATCTCCAAGGACAGAGGCTCCACAAGCCCCTTGGGCAACTGCTTCTAGTGTTTGGCCATCCTTACAGTAAAAAGGTATTTTTATATTTAAACAGAATTCCTTGTATTTTGGTTTGTGCCCTTCCTTGGCTCTTGTCCTGTCAGTGGGTACCGCTGAGGAGAGTCTGTCTCCATATTCTTCCTGGCCCCTCCATCAGGTTGTAGGATCCTTCGAGCCTTCTCTTCTCCGGGATCAACAGTGCTAGCTCTCTCGGCCTCTCCTCGTGCGTCACACGCTTCAGTTCTCTTTGTCGTCCTTTGCTGGGCTCTCCAGTATAGGTCAGTGCACACCATGACTATGATTTTACCAGATGTCTTCTGGAAAAATATGTAGGGTTATTTTTAAGAGTTTTAAAGCATAAACAGGGCTGAACAGAATTATTTAGTGGTAGATCAGCATTCATCTAGTGGAATGAGTTGAGACTTGTGACTCCATTCAACGGTAAGTGGGTGTCCGCTGATTTTAACGATCTTCGGAAATGTGCCTGTGGCCATTGCACTGGCTTTTCCTCTTCATGGATTTTCATATGACCTCCTGCGAAATGAGGTCCCTTTTTTCTTTTTTTAATAATGCTACTTTTTTGTTTTATTCTGTCAGAATTCCTAAGGCTAAAGAAATAAGTATCTCTATTAATAACTGTATAGGGAGATAAAAGTATAACCATTAATCTGGCTAGAGATCTTATATGTGTCAGCTGAGTGAATATTCATAGTTTGATTTCTTCTGGTTATTTTTCCTCCACAGGGAGGTTTTACTAGGTATTGAAACTTGCTAAAATTGTTTTTACGTGAAGCAGTGATATCCTGAAATCTTAGTTTAAGTTGTTACTGTCAGGTATCCCTACCCAAACTTTGTGTATAAAGTAACATCACATTTTAGTTGTCTCTGCAACTCTTCCTTTGCATCCAGTCTGCATGAGGGAAATACCCAGGGTTTAAGCAACTGCATCCAGAAATTCAACCACCTTGTGTGCATATGTTAACTTTGCATCCACACAAAAAACCCCTGGTGTTTTGTAGCTCAGCTGCCTGAGTTTGCGACCTTTTGTGTAATGCTAAACATTAATTCCATCTTCGCTTGTTTAGCTCTAACAACATCTTGTCATTTCTGGGCTTGTTAACTCCTTTAACTTGCACCAAAAAACTTGTGAAGTCAAGGGCAGAATTCCTGGTCCTAATGACCATAAAGCAACACCTCAAAGTTCGCAGTGAAAACAATATTTATATAATTTCAAGGAGATGGATGTATTACAGCTCGCTGGCTTAAGAAACAGTCAACAAAAGGTTTCTAGTGAAATATTTGAGATATAGCAAACAAACCAACCTCCAAACCAGGTTCTTGAACCAATAGTAAGCATTTTGTCTTTTCTCCTTCGTCACTCACTATCTCAAACTTCAGTCACTTTTCAAAAAAATGGAGGGATAAGTAAAACTTGCAAATGTTTTCACATTAAAATGGAGACAAAACTATATCTAATATTTTAATAATACTGCAGTGTCTTCAGCACTTGCTGTTACAGTCACTGCGTCAAGGGATTTGAGGAATGTATAACTTTTCTGCGTTGTATATTGAAATGAAAATGCAGGGAAAGTAGGTGACTTCAGTCAATTAGAGAACCTGTAACTAACCCATGCCTTTGTTCCCAAAGAAGAGAGACTGCTTTTAGTGACTAAACTGAGTGTAGAGTATCATTAAATGGAATCTCTGCGTAAAGACCAATTTCTGCAACTTTTCATGGAAAAGCACTGATAAAAAATTACTAATTTGACTTCTGGTACAAATCTTGATGATTCCATTCCTTCCTACCATTTGCATGTTAACTGCATCCTCCTGCCCCCACTTGGTAAGTCAGGTGGCAACAGGAAATTGTAATTACAGATTCTAAAGTGAAAGTATTCACAAAGGCTCTACCCAAGTTTTCTGCTATAGTGAAATGATGGAACCAAACTTCTTTAAATGTTTTGGCACTTTAAATGATTTTGTATTTCCACCTCCCCCCCCCCCCCCCCCTTTTTTTTTTTAATGCTTACGGTAGGGAAATGATACAGACAGTGACTCCTCCAGCTCTCTTGTCAATGGTCAACTTGAGATGTTTATTGATTGTTCTGTTATTGGAATAATGTTCCGCAGCCCCTTAGCAATCTGAATGTTTTCCCTTGCCTGAAGAATTGGTTGTTCCAATGCAGTGACAACTTTAAGTCAGAACAGAACACTGGATTATTAGATCTTGTTCTTATTATAATGGTGAAAGATTTATATTGGAGTAAAGTCACTTTAACTCTTGATTTGCATGATGTCATCAGAGAACAGCAAGGTTTTTCTGAAGACCTTTGCAGTCTTCAAAAATCGGGAAACTGGTTAATGAAGGTATTAAATGATCTCGGCATGGATTCCTCCCATCGTACTCCAAGAAAAGTCTGTAAAACTCCACCAAAGAGCCTGTTAGTTCAACTGAAGGGAAATTTTTCCCTCTGAAATCTGACGCACTTCATCCCAGTCATGTGAGATGCTGATGAGGCATCCAAAAGGCGAGTCCCTCCTGTCAAGGTCCTAGCTGCGGCAAACCTCAGCACTGCCACGAGGGAAGGGACCTGCCCTATCTGGCCAGTTGTGCACTGGAATACAGAAATCTCTGACCGCTGGGCAGTGCTGTGGAATCTGAAACTCTGTTATTACTGTACTCATGCGTCTGCAAATGTTTAAACCCAATGGGAGCAGTGTAGGTAATACTTCTGTGAAAGCTCCTGAAGGAATGTTATGGGCAGGA